GATGATGATGATGATGATGATGATCTGGATCCAGAGCTCTTCTCACCTGGCTGACAGGGTGATGATGATGATGATGATGATGATGATGATGATGATGATGATGGTGATGATGATGATGAAGATGATGATCTGGATCCAGAGCTCTTCTCACCTGGCTGACAGGATGATGATGATGATGATGATGATGATGATGATGATGATGATGATGATGATGATCTGGATCCAGAGCTCTTCTCACCTGGCTGACAGGGTGATGATGATGATGATGGTGGTGATGATGATGATGATGATGATGATGATGATGATCTGGATCCAGAGCTCTTCTCACCTGGCTGACAGGATGATGATGATGATGATGATGATGATGATGATGATGATGATCTGGATCCAGAGCTCTTCTCACCTGGCTGACAGGATGATGACTCGAGCCTCCAGGTCTTTGGCCTCCAGCAGCAGCGCGGTCACGTTGGTGTCCTGGCTGACGAGCAGCACCTTCTCCGCCTGGAGAACCGCGGCGCCGACAGACCGGTACCACCGAGGGACAGGGAGAAACACGGCAAAAACACAACACACCACACAACACATCATAGGACACGCACTGTTAGCTTTGGACCGCCACAAGCTCCTCCCTCCCTCCCCCGACCACCCTGAACCCGCAGCTTCGACCATGCTCCCTCTCACCCACGCTACCATGGGAGGAGGGGGGCGGGGCAAAGAAAATGTAGGCAAAAAAGTGTTGAAGATCTGCTGAACTGAAAGAAAACAAAGCTGGAATACAAAAAGGGCAAAAAGTTGTGCGTGGTGTGGTGGCTCATGCAAACTGAGGCGCTTTCAAGACTCCAACCAACCAACCAATCAGGGACGTGCATGTTAGAGCGCTGATGCAACTGCAAATTAAAAAAAAGAGGTTCGAGTGGAGAGAGGGAGGACAGAGGGGGGAGGAGAAGGGAGGCAGGGAGGACGGAGTGGCTCATTTCCCAAAAGAAAAGAAAAAAAAGAGGAGTGAGAGGAACCTGGGGGGCGGTGGTCCTCAGATATCTGCAGACAGAGCCAAACATCAGCCCGGCTGCATGCAACCCTTCACAGAGGGGGGAGGAGGAGGAGGAGGAGGGAGGAGGGGAGGAAGAGGAAGGGCGTCTCTCCTGCAAGTGTGAACCCATTCTGTGAGCAGGAATCATGAAAACTCAAAAGAACAAAAAAAAGAGATGGTGGAGAGAAGACGTGCCACCAGGACAAGAGTCTTATCTCTGGAGCTGGGTTGAGTTCTGGGCGGGTGGGCGGGGCTAACCGGTGTTTGGCTACTACTGGGCGAGCTCAGAGATTGGTTGGGCGGCGTGCATCATTTCACCATGCAAGTTTATACCTTAGGTGTTCTCCTGAAGTCAAAGTTCTGATGGTCGAGGTTTTCATAGTTCCTGTTTTTAGTCTGATGGGTGATGTGCACAGAGAAAATAATGCAGACACAAAGATTATAGACAGTCGCAGCAAAGCATCCAACAAATGATTCGTTTCTTTTTCTGCTTCAGGTGCGGAGCCGCGAGCAAACACATCACAGACGTTTCACCTGTCAGACCACCTGCTGCACTGAACTCCTCTTTACTCTCAAATAACTGGTTGTTTTCATTCGTTTCTCTTTTATTATTGCTCTTAGGTCACATTTTTTGGTGCTTTAATTCATCCCAATCTTTCCACTTTTGTGAATTTGATCAAATTTGTTTTTGTTGACTGAATTTAAGAAACTAGTGTTTGTATTTTAGTTTAAATTATTAAACACAATGATGTAGGTAGTGTAAAACTGTATTATTTTATTCCTGCTTCAACAACCATCTGTTTATGAATCAACCTGCTGCAGAACACTGTGAGGATGAATAAAGGTGCGTTTAGACAAGTTCTTTCATTAATTCTTGGTTTGTTTGGAGCTGAAGCCTCAGGTGTTTTCTGAGTAACTTCAGCTCACAGAAGAACCAGAAGGCATGCTAGCTGCTAGCATCTCCGATGCTAACACCAGCTTATCCATGTTAGTTGTTAGCCTCTCTTATGCTAACACCAGCTTATCCATGCTAGTCGCTAGCCTCTCCGATGCTAACACCAGCTTATCCATGCTAGTCGCTAGCCTCTCTGATGCTAACACCTTATGCTGCATTCCAGTTGTATGGGAACTCGAAATTCTGAAGCCAGACTGACGTCAGTTCCGAGCTGATAGCGTTCCAGTTTCAAACATCGGAAAAAGCTTTTCTATTATTTTGCTCTGCAACAATAAAACGTATAATAATAGTGCTCTACGAGGTATTTTGAGTGTACAAACAGTGTTAAAACATATATTTTAACTATCACTGTAAAGCACTACGAGTATGTCTGGCGTAATGTAAAATAAACAACATAGAACAAAGCCGCGTTTGTTTACATGCAAGACTAGCAATGTTAGCGGTTAGCTCGGACAAGCATGCTAGTACGCTACATACATTAAACAAATATAAAAAGGGAAAATAAACAAACAAATTACACTCATTTTTATTCTGCCTCCTCTCCTTACTTTCTGTCTGTTAAATAATGGGGATGGTGCTTGTGTACGTTTGATTACAGCTCAACATTAGAGAAACATGTTAATGATAGCGTGACCGCTGACAGTTTCATGCGCGCAGCAGCCATGTTGAAATGATGACGTAACACATGCTCGAGCTGCTCGGGTATGGTTCGGATGTGCCGACCTCTCGACTCGAAACTACGACTTCAGGGGGCGTTCCAGTTGAAAAATAGAACTCGGAGGCTCGAAGTCACGACCTCCGAGGACAACTGGAATGCAGTATTATCCATGCTAGTTTCTAGCCTCTCCAATGGTAACGCCAGCTTATTCATGCTAGTCGCTAGAATCTCCAATGCTAATACCAGTTTATCCATGCTAGTCGTTAGCCTCTCTGATGCCAACACCAGCTCATCCATGCTAGTTGCTAGCCTCTCCAATGCTAACACCAGCTCATCCATGCTAGTCGCTAGACTCTCTGATGCTAACACCAGCTCATCCATGGAGAAAGGGTTATCTGCGGAATCAAAGTGGGCGTGTCCCAAGAGTGGGCGTGTCCCAAAAGTGGGCGTGTCTAAAGCATAAACACTGTGGGCTACGAGGTTTACATGACGGTATCCTTAGATCCTGCTTGATCTCTTTACAGCCTGACCCTGACCCCAACACTAAGGTTAACCAGGAGAAATGTGACCCAAGTAGGGGGTCTCCAGAAAAAGTGGTGCCGTACAGTAACGCCCCTTTTGTTCTTGTCCAATCAGGTGGTGCCGTACAGTGACGCCCCTTTTGTTCTTGTCCAATCAGGTGGTGCCGTACGGTGACACCCCTTTTTTGCTTGTCCAGTCAGGTGTATCCCTTTAACAAAGTCCGTCAAATCAGGTGTGTCGCTTTAGAATCGCCTTTCCTTGTGACACGCCCACTCGTCCACAGAGACCCCTACTTGCATCCATGCTAGTTTCTAGCATCTCTGATGCTAACACAAATGAATAGTCTCCTTCTCATTTGCCATTTCTGGCCTCTCAGTTAGCGGGGCCAGCCTTTCATTAATCAGATCAATAGCTGGTTTAGGAATAGATATAGCCTCCTGCTACAAGGATGTAGCAACCACTGGTTGCTTAATAGTCAACTTTGGCCCTCATAACGAGCCATATTTCTCTGCCTGCAGGAGCTGAAGTTAAACTCTGGCTCCGTTTGTTACGTCTCATGAAAACATCAGATCCAGTGAGGCAACATTTAAGAACAATTTAAGAACCTGTCATGACTCAGAGCAAAGTGAGAACCTGGCTTCAGTTTTTAAATATGGAACATTTCATTTTTACCTTGTGTTGTGTCAAACTAAACCTTTGTGTGAATAAAAAAAACTCACATTCTGGTGTGAACAAAACACCCTCTGCAGTTATATTTAGCCTGAGGTGTAAATTTACGCCTCATGCAGGCATGAAAGTAGCGGTTTTATTTTTAGAGCAGAACAAAGCCGACGTCTGACGGGTTTCTGAGCCGTCACATTCGTTAAGCGGCCCACCATCAATATGTTGGATCAGAGCAGCCTGAAGGAAAACATGAAGCCTCAGCGTGTGACCACAGCCTGCAGGAAGTCCAAACTCCACCAACGCACACTGTCCAGACACAACTGCAAGTTTGATGTCTTGTAGGCAACGGTGGGCAGCACTAATCTAAAAATTAATCCCACTAGCCCTAAAACACTAACTCAAATATTTAGGTCCCCTAATACTAAAGCACTAACGCACTGAAAATTTTAGCAAAAGCAGCAGATTTGAGGTTCAGGTTTTTATGAATGATTATTTATCACCAGTTTGATTAGTTTTATCTGTCAGATGAGTTAAATAAATCTTTGCTCCTTTATTTTCACTTCATTTTTTTGTGCGTTTTTATCGTTTTTGTATCATGTTGTCAGTCTGAGCTGCTCCCGCTCAGTAACCCCTCCTGTTTGTTTCTCTTGTCAGATTCTGTTTTATTTTAGCTCCATGAGATTCTGTTCATCGGATTTGGATTGTTTTTTTTTTTTTTTTGTTTTTTTTTGTTTTTTTTGCTGCCTGGTTGTTGAAGTTTTGTGAATCGTTGAAGCATCATGTAGCTCTTTGTGTTACGGTTCACTGACCGCAGATCTGAGCCACATAATCCTGCGCCCTGGTTCGAGCAGTCAGGAGGGGAGGAGGACTCAGATCTGATAAATTCTCCCTGAATGCATTGAAAATATCCTCATTTTTTTATTTATTACAATGAAATTATGGAGAAATTTCCAGCTCAACATGCCAGAGTTCCTGGTTCTGTTCCCTCCGCTGCAGGTTCTGGTTCTGCTGGTGCAGCCTCGTCATGTGTCAGTGTTCCTCGGAGCTGCTGGTATATTTATGACTTTACGCGGGTTAGATGTTGGCTCTGCTCACCTACTTTAACTAATGTGCTGTAATATTCATGTGTCTCCTCCCACTTTTTAAAAACTCTCTCTAATATTCATGAAACTTGTCCTCTGCAGACTTCCCTTTGTTTTCTGGGTTACATCAGACTGAGCTTCTTCTGTCTGCCTCCTGCTGTACCCTCTCTGAGCAGCAGCGCCCCCTGCTGGGAGGACAGCTGGACCTACGGTTCTGTTTGTCGTTCGATCGTTGAACTGGTCCTGCTCGGCAGCAGATGGAAGCAGACGTGACGGACAGTCGCTCTGACAGCTGCCACAGAAACAGCTGAGATGTGTTTGCACGACTCCCACCTCCGTCAGAGCCCGAGTGATGAGGAACCAGACGGATGGAGCCGGAGAACGCAAGAGATGGAATGGACCAGCGGGCGAGAGAGAGAGAGAGAGAGAGAGAGAGAGAGAGAGAGAGAGAGAGAGGAGAGAGAGAGAGAGGATCAAAATTTAAAAATGTGACAAAAACTAAAATAAAAAAACTAAATCAGTCAAAACTCCACCAAGACAACAAAACTGGTTCTGAGACACTGATGGAAAACCTCTAACGGGGGTCAGAATTCAAGACCAGCAGGTCCAAATTCAAGATCAACAGGTCCAAAGTCAAGATCAGCTGGTCTAACATCAAGACCAGTGGGCATGAAGTCAAGACTAGCTGGTCCAAAGTCAAGACCAACAGGTCCAAAGTCGAGACCAACTGGTCCAAAGTTAAGACCAACAGGTCCAAAGTTAAGACCAGCTGTTCCAATGTCAAGACCAACTGGTCCAAAATCAAGATCAACAGGTCCAAAGATAAGACCAGCTGGTCGAATGTCAAGATCAACAGGTCCAAAGACATAACAGGTCCAAAGTTAAGACCAACAGGTCCAAAGTTAAGACCAGCTGGTCCAATGTCAAGATCAACAGGTCCAAAATCAAGATCAACAGGCCCAACGTCAAGATCAACAGGTCCAAAGTCATAACAGGTCCAAAGTCAAGACCAACAGGTCCAAAGTTAAGACCATCAGGTCGAAATTCAAGATCAACAGGTCCAAAATCAAGATCAACAGGCCCAAAGTCAAGACCAACAGGTCCAAAGTCATAACAGGTCCAAAGTTAAGACCAACAGGTCCAAAGTTAAGACCAGCTGGTCCAATGTCAAGATCAACAGGTCCAAAATCAAGATCAACAGGCCCAAAGTCAAGATCAACAGGTCCAAAGTCAAGACCAACAGGTCCAAAGTTAAGACCATCAGGTCGAAATTCAAGATCAACAGGTCCAAAGTCATAACCAACAGGTCCAAAGTCAAGACCAGCTGGTCCAAAGTCAAGTCCAGCAGGTCCAAAGTCAAGACAAGCTGGTCCAAAGTCAAGACTAGCTGGTCCAAAGTCAAGACTAGCAGGTCCAATGTCAAGGCCAGCAGGTCCAATGTCAAGACCTTCTGGTCCAATGTCAAGACCAGCAGGTCCAATGTCAAGATCAGCAGGTCCAAAGTCAAGACAAGCTGGTCCAAAGTCAAGACTAGCAGGTCCAATGTCAAGGCCAGCAGGTCCAATGTCAAGACCTTCTGGTCCAATGTCAAGACCAGCAGGTCCAAAGTCAAGACCAGCTGGTCCAATGTCAAGACCAGCAGGTCCAATGTCAAGACCAGCAGGTCCAAAGTCAAGACAAGCTGGTCCAAATTCAAGATCAACAGGTCCAAAATCAAGATAGGTAGGTCAGGTTGTGAGGGCTCAAACACCAGTAATTCCAGAACCAGCAGGTTCTGGGTCAGTACCAGCAGGTTTTGGGTCAGTACCAGCAGGTTCTGGGTCAAGTCCAAACGTTTACAAACTTTTTAAAGTTGAAAATAAGTTTAAAACAGAAACCAGGAAGTGATCTGTTTCTAAATCATCAGGTGACTTTAGTTGATAAACAAAACCAGCTAAAATGTTTCAGATCGTCTCATTATTTCAATCAGCTACAGTAAAACGTGAGGTAGAGTTTTGTTTTGGTTTGGGTCTCAGCTTGGATCAGAATTGAGTTCATGAGCAGCTTCAGGTTCTTTGTCATGCGTGTAACTAAAACAGATCACAGCTAAAGCTTCTCTGATGAATGCATATCGCCCGCCAAATTCAACTTTGAAAATAAGATGATATACCTCAAAGCTAAAATGTGCAAAATAATGGCTGAAAGACAAAATTCATAAATGTATAGCTAAAAAAACATTAGCCAAACCATTGCTAACATTGAAAGCAGCTAAAATTAGGAATGCATTAGCTAAAAGTATCAAAATAGGACTCAAAAGTGTCAAAACATTAGCTCAAACGCTAAAGGCAACAAAATGGTAGGTAAAAGTAGCAAGCATTTAGCTACAAAGCTAGTAGTACCAAAACAATAGCTTGAAGCTAAATTAAGCAAAACGTAACTAAAAGATTATCAAAAGAAAAGCTATAATGAAACATTATCAAAATAATAGCTAAAAGCCAAAATAGCTAATTTAATGCTAATGGCTAATGATCAAAACTGTAGTAAAAACTAAAATTAGAAAAACAACTAAAAAGCCAAAAGAGCCAAACTGTATCTAAAAGCTAAAATGATGTGCAACACCTAAACCTTTATATAGCCAAATGCTAATATTAGCAATGCTAATTTATAAACATACATCAGTGAACACATTCTGAGTTTAAAACTTCCCATGAGATATTCTGCTAACAAAGTCAAACACACACACACACAGGTGATATTGATATCGCTCAGAATGAAATCATCACATTCTCTGTATTTTCATCTGCATCCATGTAAACAAACAAGTAAACAAAAACAGGTCAACCTTCTTGGTGGAGATAAAGTTAAAAACAGAAGAGATGAAAGAGAAGCTGAAACAACGAATAAAGCTGGAAGATGATGGACGGAGGGATGACCTTACACACACCCTAACACACACACCCTAACACACACACACACCCTAACACACACACCCTAACACACACACACACCATGCAGACAAACCAGACTGAAGCACACATGATTTCATAATCTGTGTGTGTGTGTGTGTGTGTGTGTGTGTGTGTGTGTGTGTGTGTGTGTGTGTGTGTGTGTGTGTGTGTGTGTGTG